TATATATATATATATATATATTTATATATATAGACTTTAAAGGAAAATTTGCTTTTGAATCCACTCCTAATCTTTGTTTCTGACCATAAATTTTAACATTTGAACTCATGGAATTAATATTTCATTTTGAAAAACCTGATTGCATCTCCTCTGATTTGCTTAAATTTAAATTTAAACAAGGGAACGATTCTAAGCTGAGACATATTTCATTTTGATCAAAAGGGGTCAAATGGGACAAAAAAACCACTGAATTTTTTCTTTGATTTAAATTAAATTTAAATTTGAATAAATTAATCTATAAAATAGAGGATTTATCCAGAATCTGGAGGTCATCATCGGCATTCAAAAAGTAGACATTATGGACATAATTTTTCTTGAAATCACCATCAACTTTTTAGATCTTTGGTCAAGAATTTTCATTATCAAATCAATTTTGAAATTTTTTTTTTAATCAAGATTGCAAATACATTCAAAAGGGACAAATTCTTTCTTGAAAGCCCCAAAATTCTCTTTGATTCAAATTAAATTTAAATTTGAACGAGAATAAATGTCTATAAGGAGAAAGCAAGAAGATGGAGGTCAAACGGAAAGACCATTGAGAATATTGAAATGTATCACAATTTTCTCTTTTTTTATTTAAAATATTTAAAATCAATCGTCATTTTCTTAGAAAAAAAAAAGTTACATAAACATAAAATATTTTTAAATAGTTGATTATTCATTTTTAAATATTATAAAATTCAACAGCTTTTATAAATCATTGAATGCAGTAAACTAGATAAAAGCAATCATTTGTATTCATCAATGATTGTTCCGGAAATGGTTCCTGCATCCAATTTATTCTAACAATTCATTTTCAATTTATAAAATGTATGATTCAAAAAAAAAATTGAAAAGATTAACTGAAAAAAAAAACATTGAAAATGTTAAAAAAAACTTGAAAACTGATAGTGTGAAGATGACTTTATAAAGTTTTTCATTAATTTTTTATTAAAAACAGTTTCATTTTGTTTATTTTTCGTACTTATTTGGAATGTTGGCAATTCACCATTTTTACGTTTTCCAACAGGTTTTGAAAAACACTGGCATTTTATTTCAGGATTTTTGGAAGAACATTTTTTATAAATCCTTTCATTCGTCCGTTTCAATCTCCAATGCCATTTTTGGTTATTGTTTATTTAAATTCATTCAATCCCAAGATTCTTGACAAATTTTAAAAAAGGATTGCAATTTAATCGATCCTTACTTGACATCTCTATTCTTCAAAAATTTTCTCACTAACGTGATGTTTTTTCCGATTTTCTATAAATATTTTCATGGCTGCTGCTTTGAGGATTTTGTCCTTCTTTAAATGCCTCGAATGTTATTTATTTTGCTACCAATTGGCATCTAGATGAATCTTATTTTACTATTGAATTAGGTAATTGAAAATTCTTTTATAAAATTTTTTTTTTCTTTATTTCCCGCCTATTATATTTATCTTTTCAGGTTTTTTTTCCACTAAAAAATACAATGTTTGAAACATTTTGGTTTGTTTTTTCAATAGCAATCTTCTTTCTGAAAATTTTTATCATTTTTCTTTTCCACAATCCTGCCTTTTCTCTCATTTTTATCCATAATGATCTTTTTAGAAAAATTTATATACTGATCTCTTTTCATTTTATATATCCTATACTCAATCTTTAAATATTTATCCCTTTACTAAAATTCTTCTCTAATTTCTAATTTTATATCAGTGTTTTCTTTCATTTTCCCAAATATTAGAGTTTGTCTCTTCTCTCATTTTCACTAATGAACGTTTCATCTTTTCTAAAAACTCTTTTTTTCAATAAATTTTTCTCTCATTTTAAAACAACTTCAGTCTTTTCTCTATTTTTCCATCCCTAGATATTCATAACTATATTTTTCATTTATAAATATGGTCAAATAAAAACTTTGATTAATGTTTGATATATATAATACTCTTCTCGTCAATCATATGTGCTATAATTTTGTCTCTTCTAAAATTTTTCTACCCCTATATGAAAATTCTTTAAAAATTTTCAAAATAATTTTTCTTTTCTTTTAATTTAATAAGATTTTCCCTATAGTCAATAAAATCATTTCCTCCCCTATTTGTCATCTTAAAGATAATTTTCATTTTCCTAAGATACCCATGAAATCTCTTCTCTCATTTCAGAACCTTAACATATCCCTTATTCATTTTGCCTTGGTTTAAATAAATGACTAAAAAAATAGTTATAAAATTTTTTGGAGTTAAGTTTTGATTCTGTCAAAAAGATATTTAAAATGAATTTTACATTATTCTTTTAATAATAAAAATTTATTGATAACAATTTATTAAAAATCTTTCTTCTTCTTCTTCTTCTTCTTTTGTTTCTTATATTCTTTCTTAACGATATACCCTTTGTTCTTCTTTTTCTTAAACTTTTCCTTTTCTTTTGGTTCTTTTTAATAAATCCTCAATTCCTTCTACTCAGACTTTTTCTTTTTCCTTATCTACTAAAACACATTCATCTTCTACATCCTATATTCTTAATTAAAAATTCCTTCTTCTTCTTTCTTTTTCTTCTGCTTGTTCTTTTTATTTTTCTCCAATATCTTATTTTCCTTTTTTATTCTTTTTTTCTTCTTCCCTTGCATTTTAGTTTATTTCTTCTCCTTCTTTTCTTTTCTTCTTCTTCTTCTTTTTCTTCTTCTTGTTCTCAACCTTAGTAATTTTAAGTATATTAGTGTTTGGAAGTTTTTGTTCTTCCTGCTTATATTTTTTTTTACATCTTTTGTTTTCTTAAACTCCGTTCAGCTTTTATCCTTTCCCCGGTCTCCCCACCCCTTCTGCCCAGTCTTTTTTTTCTTTTTTTCATTCCTCTGTAAACCTCCTGCAATAATAGTTTAAAATCCGCATTTTTTTAAGTTAAAGGATTTTGAAAAATTTCTCCACCGGCTAGAAAATAATCCTATCAAAAAAAATGGCTGTTCTTTTCCTGTAATGATTGTAAAATTTTTCATTTATTCACTTGAATGTCTCAATTTCTTTAATTTGACCAATAATAGGAAATAAATCTACACTGAATAATTACTAAAAATTGCAAATTTTTTTTATAAACAAAACTTTGTAGTCTTTTTCCATAAGTAATTTTGAAAATTTTATTAATTCGTTATAGAAAAATTCTTTGTGAAAATATAAAACGAATAATTCAATATTAAATTTTTTGTCATATTTTTTAAATGAAACATGAATCAAAAGCACATTTTCTTTTTTTTTCTTTTTTTTTAATTTCATATTCTCAATTGGATTTAAATCAAATAACAGTTTCTTTTTCAGTCTATAATTATTTTCCAGGTTCGTCATCAGTGGTATAATGGTTAAAAGTTGGTCTTGCAAAAACTGTTTTTTTCATTAATATGTTTCGATCCTCACTCGGGTGCCCCAGATCTTTCTGCCTGTGCATTGATATATATTTAAAAATCAAATAATACTGTGATTTTCACTGGTTGTTATTATGTTTTTGCGTTTATGCCGCGTTACAATTTTCGTAGGCTTCCTTTGAGTAACGTCCATCGCAGACAACGGACGTAGGACAACTAATCGACAGTCGAGACAATAGCGTCTGGGGCGGGATAAAAAAGAAATTCCATTCACGGATGACGCAATTTTTTTCAAAAGAATTTCAACAAATTTCATCAGACACCCTTTCAAATAGATACATATTACTGCACATAAATTGTTTCCATCCTAATCAGAGGAAAGAAAATTTGAATGATGTGACAAAGAATGTCCATTTGACTTTTCTGACGAACTTCATACCTTAGAGCCACTATTTTTTACTTTTAAACATATAAGACCGCTGTTGCAGTGTTGAATCACCGTCGTTGTCCCCGTAGATTGTTCTCGTTCCGCTGACAATATCTAGGAAATTTGGAGACATGGTAATTGTGAGTTCAATCTTTAGGCCCGGCAGTGTTTACTTGGACTCGGTGGAAACAGAGCGTACGATAACTGAGCAGTACTAAATCAGAACGAGGTGAGATATCATTAGACATGGCTTATCAAAACGAGAACAGTCTACCTCCGTTGATTAAATAAACTGTTCAGTTCGGAATTCCTTGTTTTTCATCCTGATCATCTGATGAAGGATGTGAGGAATAAAGGCCGAAACGTTGTGATAATAACAACAAAGATGAGGGCAATGGTCTAAATGTAAATAATCAAGATAATGATAACTTCTCGTCCTAGAAATCCATTGGGCCTTGAACCTTTGAAAAAGACTTTTTATATTCAATTCTATGCATTAATCAATATAAACTATAACCTGAGATAGCTGATACCGGAATTTTGATCTGAAAATTTCACTGTATAATGTCAAAACAATAGGATCCACCGAGAAGCGTTTGATTTAATTGATAATCAAGATTAAGATGTAAAATATATTTAATAAAAATGATTACATGGTCATTTGGTTGCAAACTTATTGATTGGTTTGTTTTTTACAGTTTATCAACCCTTTACAGGTTATTTAAAACCAGAAAACATTTTTAGATTGTAAGAATTTTTTTTAGATAATAATGATTTAATATTACAAGTCTTACTAATTAACCCATAACTGGGGGAGAAGAGGTGGATTCATGCCTTTCCCGTGTAAGTGAATATAACAAACCAAACGGGAATTGAAATTCACCCCTCCCATTAACAATTTCGAGGTATTATTTATTACACCATCTGCACAAAGCAAGTTTACAGCATCTCTTGTACGCAAGTGGTCACCCGTCTAGGTACTGACCAGGTGGAGCGTTGCTTAACAGGTTGTCATGATGGGTCTACTGAGCTTCATATATTTGTAACACAGCGTCACTTCGTTGGCGTACCTCTCTCTCACTTAATAATAATAATAATAATAATAAATAAAGCCAGAACGAATATATTTGTGAATAATGAAACCAATCAGAATCAGAACACGGAAAAACGATAAACAATTCCGAGCCATTATCGTACATCCAAGCTTACAGCATTTGGGATTCCCAAACGGTCACCCATCTAGGTACTGAGCAAGCTCGACGTTTCTTAACTTCGGTAATCATAAAGGAACTGGTGTCTCAACGTGTTTATGGTAGC